ACAGAACTGCCTGGTAAAACCGTAGGCAGAGAGAGAGAAGAGGACAACAAACGAGGGGCTGTGACAAACTGTTTCGTCGGAGTTTCACCGACTCATCAGGTGGCTATATATATATATATATATATATATATATATAGGTCACCAGCCCGTACCTACGGAGGTCCCCGGGGAGACCTCCGTACGTACGGGCGTTCGGGGTCCCGTACGGGGTCCGAACCCGACGACGTTTGGCGCCCGCCAAAAAATATTTCAGGGCCTAACAATAATTATTTTTTTCTGATTTTTTTTTGTGAGTTCTCTATGACGTGAGGTACATGCCTGTACATTTTCAAGTCATTTGGATAAGCCAAATAAGAATTAAAAATCGCCAAAGATGGCGGTGTCAAAACGTGCTCTCCCATGTATGTTTTCACTTTTTACTTTTTGTTTTCACTTTAGTTCGGGGTCTAAACAATTTTATTATTTTTTGAAAATTTTTAAGTGGGTTTTGTATTATGTGAAGTACACGTCCGTAAATTTTCAGGGCATTTAGGTATGCTAAAAAACAATGAAAAATCGCCGAAGATGGCGGTGTCGAAAACATGCTCGCGCACTCACTAAATTTATTTCTCTTTTTATTTTTATTTAGTTTTATTATTAGTATTATTTTCTCGTATTTTATTTTTATTTCAAATTTTGTAAGGAATTCGGATGTAATGCTCAGGCAAATCTTGTTTAGTTTATCATTCTCCATAACATATCTTTTTTTCAGATGTTTGTTTTTTTTTTTTTTGGGGTCCGCGTTCGTCTTGAACTGCCGAACGCATCCCCAAGGGGTCCCATACGTTCGGGCGTTCGGCCCGTCCCGAATGACGGTTACCCTTTATATATATGTATATATATATTTATACACTTGGCTACCAGAGTGGCCCGGGGTCACTTGCCCGGCCGGGCCAAAGTAATTAAAAAAAATAAAAAAAAATAAAATATTTTTGAATTGTATTTTTTATTTTCAATTTGGTGAAGAATTTCGATGTGACCCTAAGGCAAAAGTTGTTTAGTTTATTTTTCTGCATAACATAATTGTTTTTCAGAAGTTTTGGATTTTTTTTTTTTTTTTTTTTTTTGCTGGGACCTTACCTGATCCTTGCACGGGCTGGCCACCCAAGACCCGGGCGACCCGGTTGGTAGCCTAGTATATATATATATATATATATATATTTAAAAGGGCGATGGCCTTGAGGTATTATCATCGGACTAACCAGCCCAGGTAAATTCAATCTTGTGTCTAATCTGACATCGGGTGGCCTTTTCAGCCCAGGGTGCCCTTGTTGCCTTCAGGGAACCCCCAATGGGGGACACCGGGCAGGGGATAGCTAGTAGCAAAGGGATCGAGCATCATCTGAGTGTCCAGTCGCTGTGCCTCCCTGATTACCCCTCCCCCTATGAGCATCAACAAAAACTGCTTTTTTCAATGACACTGTGGGGACCAACGACATATCTGTAGGTGGCGGGCGCCAAGCTTGCCCAGGAAGGTGCATGAGGCCAATGGGGATTGAAGCCTTCAAAACCTCCTTAATGCCGCTCGCGTGCCTTACCAACTGAGCTAGGCCGCTGGAGCTTGCATGAAATATAGCATGCCTCACTTCTATGTAAACATAAACAAAAATAAATTCCTATTTTCTTATCAATGATTTTGGCCAATGACTTTCATCTCAAACAGACAAAAGTCCCTCCCCGCTACAACTACTTTGCCCTGGCTGCGCCCCCGCGCCTTGCGCGGCTACAGTAGAGTGTTAGGGCATCGCCACACCACTCTTGAACTGTGCAAAATGAGAATGAACTTTCCGCTAGAACATGACCAGATGCACGCGCCAAATTTTTGTCTTTTTCACGTTTCAAGAGTGGTGTGGCGATGCCCTTGGGTCTCGCTCCACTACTCTATACTCTCGAAATTTCAAGAGTAAGGCCTCGCTCCACTCACTCTAGATAGGTGCTCTCGAAAACGCCCTTCGAGAGCTGTCAGAAAGCACTCTCGAAGGGCACTCCCGAAGGGCACTCCCGAAGTGTCTAGAGTGCCCAGCCTGCGACGACATGCTTTTCCAGTGTCCTCCCTCGTACCCCCCCTCCGACCATTTTTTTTCGTGAGTGCGCCTGGTGTCCCGACCATCAGAACAGGGCGGCGCTGTCTTTTAGTGCAGTCAGAGAGCTCGTCTCATTCCGCTACTGCATCTCAAGCAAACCCGTCTAGAGTAAGTGGAGCCAATACTTTTTTTTCGAGAGTTTTGCACGTCTGACAGCTCTAGAAGGACTTGCAAAACTTTTCGTGAGTCGAGAGTAGTGGAGCGAGACCCCTTATGTAGTGGAGCGAGGTCCCTTGACAGAAGATATGCAGATCCACGGCCAGATCCAAGGGACTGCTACGATGCATGCAGTCGCCGTGCCGGGATGAGCCCAGGGGGGTGAAGGAGGGGACAAGTCACGGCGCCCAAGGGGTTTGCCCGATGGAGACCCTAGATTTTGGTTTGGGGCTCGCTCCACTACTCGCCGCATGTGCAAAATGAGACTGAATCTGCCCACAGAACACGGAAAGATGCCTTGTCACTTTTTTTTTTTTTGTGCATGTGGAGAGTAGTGGAGCGAGGCCCTTTGTCGACCGAATCTTTTTGCTGATTGCCAGGCTTCCACGGTGGCATTCGGATTTTTTCTATCGGCGTTCCCTAAGCGCGGTTCGTTACGTCGATTTCACGGCCACGTCATCGCCTTCGCTCCCGCCACAAGAAAGAATTCACCGATTTGTTGCCGTAGCGCGCCGGCGGGGAAATGAAGCGATTTTCTTTTTTTTTTTTTTTGGGAAGGAAATGAAG